TCTCTTCATGATCCAGTCCTTTCCTTTTGCTTCCTTTTTTCCTTTTAATGGTTCTGTTTTATTTTCTTTCTGAAATTTTATTTTTTCTGTCTTTCTTCCTCTCCCTCTCTGCAGGCAGAGGTCTTGGTTTGCATCCTGCTGTGTGCTTGGCCATTCGAGTCAACACTTTCCTGAGCTGCAGCCAGTATCACAAGATGTACCGGACTGTCAAAGCGACCAGTGGCCGCCAGATTTTTCAGCCGCTGCACACCCTCCGAGCTGCAGAGAAGGAGCTTCTCCCTGGCTTTCACCAGTTTGAATGGCAGCCGGCTCTCAAAACTGTGTCCGCTTCTTGCAATGTTGGCATTATTAACGGTCTCTCTGGATGGACATCCTCAGTGGACGACTCCCTGGCTGAGACCATCACTCGGCGGTTTCGCTATGATGTGGCACTGGTGTCAGCATTAAAGGACCTGGAGGAGGACATCATGGAGGGGCTGAGAGAGGCTGGGATGGAAGACAGCGCTTGCACCGCAGGTTTCAGTGTCATGATCAAGGAATGCTGTGACGGCATGGGCGATGTCAGCGAGAAGCACGGCGGAGGACCGGCTGTCCCAGAGAAGGCTGTACGTTTCTCCTTCACTATAATGTCTGTCTCCGTCCAGGCCGATGATAAGGAGGGGGAGGTCACCATCTTCACCGAGCCGAAGCCAAACTCAGAACTTTCCTGTAAGCCCCTTTGCCTGATGTTTGTGGATGAGTCAGACCACGAGACACTCACAGCTGTCCTGGGGCCTATTGTTGCGGAGCGTAACGCAATGAAAGAGAGCAGGCTCATCCTATCCATAGGTGGTCTGCCTCGCTTTTTCCGCTTCCACTTCAGAGGCACAGGATATGATGAGAAGATGGTGCGAGAGATGGAGGGTCTGGAGGCCTCAGGCTCCACGTATATCTGCACTTTGTGTGACTCAAGTCGAGCTGAGGCTTCTCAAAACATGGTGCTGCATTCCATCACCCGCAGTCACGAGGAGAACCTAGAACGTTATGAATTATGGAGAACGAACCCCTTCTCTGAGTCTGCAGATGAGCTGCGAGACAGAGTCAAAGGCGTCTCTGCCAAGCCCTTCTTGGAGACCCAGCCCACCCTGGATGCGTTACACTGTGACATTGGCAATGCCACTGAGTTCTACAAAATCTTCCAGGACGAGATTGGGGAGGTGTATGAAAAGGTCAACCCCAGCCGGGAGGAGCGGCGCAGCTGGAGGGCAGCCCTGGATAAACAGCTGAGGAAGAAGATGAAGCTCAAACCGATAATGAGGATGAATGGGAACTACGCCCGCAGGCTAATGACCCTGGAGGCTGTGGAGGTGGTGTGTGAGCTGGTGCCCTCAGAGGAGAGGCGGGCGGCCCTGAGGGAGCTGATGAGGCTCTACCTCCAGATGAAGCCTGTGTGGCGTGCCACCTGTCCAGCCAAGGAATGCCCCGACCAGCTGTGCCGCTACAGCTTCAACTCCCAGCGCTTTGCCGACCTCCTCTCCTCTACCTTCAAATACAGGTACAACGGCAAGATAACCAACTACCTCCACAAGACCCTGGCCCATGTGCCTGAGATCATAGAGAGAGATGGATCCATTGGAGCATGGGCCAGCGAGGGGAACGAGTCGGGAAACAAACTGTTCAGGCGTTTCCGGAAGATGAATGCACGTCAGTCGAAGACCTTTGAACTGGAGGACGTGCTGAAACATCACTGGCTCTACACCTCCAAGTACTTGCAGAAATTTATGGAGGCGCACAAAGGCTCAGCCAAAGCTCTGCAAGGTTGCATCAACCCTGTAGAGACACAGGATGATGAGACTGTGGAAGTGAATGATTTTTGAATTTTATTTCAATGTTAACCTGAAGTATTGACATTTGTTTTGATTTTGCAATAGTTGTGTAGTCTGTGAATTACCTCTATCAGTAAAATGAGCTTGTTGATTGATGTTTATACCTCGAGTAGAAGCTGGAGTTAAAGCCACAAGCTTCTGACATTTTCTTGTGATAAAAGTGTGGTTGAAATGAATCATTATTTGAAGTATTTGACAAAAAAAGACCTTTTCATTAAATAATCAATTTTCTTGCTTTAGAAAAGAGTCATTTCAAGAACTTTGAAAGTAATGATACCCTCACATCACATTTTGAATATGTCTTTATTTGTATTTGAGCTGCTTTTTGAAAGGTTCTGTGCATGAATTTCTAGGAATTTGTTTTGCCTTTGGTTTGTTAGTAAAGATGGTGCAGCAGAAGAATATAGAAATAACACACAGGTTTCTCTTTGCTCACTCTGAACAGGGAGGTTCTTGTCTTAATCTTCACCATCTGTGAAATATGGTCCAGTTTATTGTATTTCAAGGGTATGATACATTGTGAATTTATATAGTAGGGATATTTATGGAAACAGATGAAAGCGCTGTAAGTCATGGAGGGAAATCGTGTTAAAAAGACCACATTTGTGGCCACTGTATTAATATATCATTTGAGCTGGAGCAAAATGCAATCACCGAGACCCAAATGTTCTTTGTTTCATGAGTGCCCTCTGAAAAAGATTACTTTAGCGCTTTATCGTGGGATCCCGGAGGGGAGAAAGAGACGCCAGGTCACTTCAAACCAATTTTTATCTCCTTTAGTTTTTGCACAGTGGAGGATAGATGATTCTTGTACGGATTCTTCCCATAAAATAAAGCATATACTGACCTTTTTGTTGATACCGTAGAAATACAGTATGGTCCATTACAGAGCCTAATACCCCATGGACTCTGCACCAGGCAGGGATTTTTCTTAAGTTTGGTTTATAACCTGGCTCTGTCTTTTCCTGCTGATATTTCTTCATTGCCACGGTTGACAGAGGAGAGGGATGTGCTGCAGCCACACAGACCAGATTTAAACTTATTTGTTGGCAACTTTATTTGTTTGATTGATTGATTATATTGTCTTCTTCTGCCCTCACCATTTGGAATCGTGACAGGCAATTTTGTTTTCTTATTTGATTGAATGTTTGATTTTGTTTCACTGTCCTGGCTTCGACCGTGTGACAGCTGTGAAATATTCACATTTCATCGGATAGTTGTCAGACTTGTACAGTGGCGTCGTGTTTTGAGTGGATGATATTGCAACTTGTCTCATGTTTTTTTCTCCATAATGAATTGCATTTTTAAAGTAGCGGATGATGGATGATTCATAAAACTCTGCATGTTCATTTTTTTGCCATGTACTTCCTCATTTTTCCAATCTACACTAAATATCAGCTACTGTGAATCTTCAGGATTATTTTGCATACTGGTGCAGTATCACACTGAAGTTGTATTACTTTTTCATATATTATTTGATTGAAGATGTTTAATAGTATTCACCTATTTCTTCTGTATTTTCACTGAACCACACAATTTACCTTTCCTTTTGATGAATTACTGTTGTAAAGGAGAAAGTTTGATTTTCTTGGTTTTTACTTTTGTCTTTTTCACATAAGAATGCAATAAATAAAGACAAAATCTGAATAAATCATCTGGTTTGTTTTTATTAAACAATTCATAATTGATAGTGCGCTTTACATTCGCATTAGCAGCACAGAATTCAGGTACCTTTGTTCCTCGGAAGACAGCACCTAAAGTATAAAATCATATTATACAGTGAGCAAAAACACAATATTGTCACTGCTGCCAGACAAACTACAGTATTAACATTTCTGCCCACATCTAAAAATTTTGAAATCTCTTAAATCTCTGAAAAAAATAATGCTTTTTTCATTTTGGTTTGCATTTATATTATTTATTTTCATTTCAGATTTAACTGCAAAAGGCTCAATAGGTATTAAAAATCAATTATAATTGCTTTGAAAAGTAGATAACAGTGATTCCTCTTTTCATTTGTCTCTCAAAGTGTTGTTTCTAAATTTATTATTATTAGTTTAAGATTTCCTATTTTTGTGTATTTGTGTACCTCTTTTGTCAGACCGCTTTGTGACAGTACTGATAACAGTTGATGCAGAAATGACATTTACTTTGGCTCCACATCTTTAATAAAAGAAAAGCCTTTGGTTGTCACCCTAAATTTGATTTTATGGTTACAAAAATCCAAAAATCCAGACAGAAGGTCAATGTTACCTTAAAAGTCTAAAAATATGTGAGGAAACCAGACAGGGGCAGTCCAGTGTCTGGCCTGATTTTTGTGCATGGAGACCATTAAAGAAACAGGAAATCTCAGAAATGAAGAGAAATACTTACTGAGTTAGAAATGTTATTCGAAGGAGAATAGGTACGTCAGTTTATTTAAGAAATTACATAAGATTAACAGAAGGAATAGACAATATTTGGTAGACAGACAAACTCAGTGCACAAGCATACATTAATTTAGAGTGTATATGATTATATATTCTCTTCTGTTTATGTCATATATAATACAAAAATATTAAAAAGGAAAAATGATAGGGCTTGGAAATAAGTAGATATTTTGTGGTTGAACTGATTTATGAATTATCAACAACAATCAAAACTATGAAGAAATAGAACCCATTTAATTGTGAAATAAATGTAGGGACTTTTGTTCCTGGAAAAGTTTGAAAGTTTTCATTCAACCACTTATTTTCACTGTGGTTCTTAATTGAATATAATTTAAGGAATTATTAAAATGTGCAAAGTAGAAACACTGAGACACATGAAAACTCTTCAGACATAAACTGGTATGAAGACTTCTTCAGATGGTCTTTGTTTATTTATTGTCACATATTTCCTTGAGTACACATCCATTCATCATCATTTTAATGGGGAAATAACAGAAGTTGTAATTCCATACATATGCAAATGTTTTGCATTTTTATTCAAACTATGTAAAATTATAATAACATATATTGATGTTGTATATGAATACAGCTATTTCATTTTTTCTCTCTTCATATTTCTCACAAACAGATCAGCATATTCAATGTTTTACATGCATCCTATAGGAAATGATTCCTAAATATATACAACATATAACTAAACATTGAGTCAGTTGAAAAGTCTTCTGAAAAAGCTTTTTTTTGTGGGGGTTGTCTTGATTGTTGGAGGAGTTTTTTTGTCCTTAACTTTCATGGGGGTGCGCTTCAGGGGCATGACTTGTCGAGTTGGTGTCATCTCCTGGTGGGGCAGGCCTCCGTGGTCCTGGCAGAAATACTTCTTGCTGCCCTGGGAGAGACTGACCAGCAGGGTTTCAGACAGCTCCATGCACTGAGCGTGGACCCAGTGTCCCTCCTCCCCTCTGGAGCAGAAGATCATGGCTGGCCGGTGGAGCTCAGTGGAGTAGTATGGCTCCCAGGTGTTGGGGTCCACTTGACAGCCCAGGGAACATTTGATCCAGTAGCCCGTCTGTGATTCGTCCTCCTCGTCCTCTTCATTGTAAGTGTCCTCTTCGCCGTCACTGCTGTCTTCCAGCTCATGTGGCTCACGACCAAAGTAGAGCTCCTCAGAGTCCTCGAGAGGAGTAGAGTCGTCGTAATCTGTGGACTCCTGGCTGCAGCTCAGGGTTCTTCCTTCCCCTATTCCATCACCCTCTGTTTGGAAGCTCACAAGATAGAAGTAATGCATTTCTGTTTGGGACGACCTGCCCTCAGTAGGTACTGCAAGAAAGATGTTTCCCTCCCCGGCACTGCCCCCAAACCAAGTGCGACTGTGGGTAATATCTTGGGTCCAGTTAGGTGACTCCAACGCCTCAAAGTGGATCCCTGTCTCATCCAGACTCACTGTGGTGCACTCTGTCCTTTTCTTAGAGTCCGCCTGATATCCCCCTAAGATAATGTATCTATGAGTGGGACCTGTGCGGTTGATTATGGCACTGGAGATGGAAATGCCAGTGTCTAGGGTCTCACAAGAGAGCAAGGGGCTGCCCTGCAGGAGCTGCACATGCAAACGAAAGAGTCGAGGGGGGCGGGAGTCAGAGGCGAATGAGTGACCTCCAATGAAGTAGACATAGTCTTCTCGAGCCAGGGCCACGTGAAACGACAGTCCCTCACTGAGCTCAGGTAAAGTGTGGGCGGAGCTGCATCCGAACTCCAGGTCAAACAGGAACACCTGAGGGGGACAGTCGACGACGCTGTTCCAGCTCTCTGTGGTGCGCTCTCCTGCAGGTATGTACGATCGACCCCCAAATAAAACACAAGCTGTCTTCCCCCGGCTCTGAACCATGCTCAGTGAGTGGCCGTATCTCCCCCCTGGCACCTCTCCCACCAGTTCTTTTTCTTTGCAGCATAATGTCAGTTTACGGTTGGAGCCGCGACTGTCCATGGTCAGCAGGTACAAGCTCGACGAGATCTCATTGTTTGGAGTGCGACCGCCGTGGATGAGATAACTCTCCGGAAGCCCGTCGTACGGGTCGAGGCGGCAAACGGCCGGACAGCGCAATGGAGGCAGGTAGCTGGAATCATTGGAGAAGGAGATGGCTCTTAGCTTCATCTCACCACGTCTAAACCGAATGCCGAACAATCCTGTTGGACATGAGCGCTTAGGCCAGCCCTTCTGGCCAAACAAGAGAAGTTCACCATCCAGCTGCAGCAGAGAGCAGCCAGGCTGGAGGAGACCTGCACAGTTCACTGGAGTTAATGGCTGCAGAGTCATTTTCCAACAGGTGCCTGCGTCAAAAAAACACACAAACACAATCTGTCACTCAGCTGTTGTTTGTTTTCATTCAGGGGTTTGAGAGTTTTACTTCCTGTTTATTACAGCAACACGTGGAAGATCATAATCCACATGATCTTAATATGCACCATAGATCTATAAAATAATAACTTCATAATATAAAATATAAAATGTAAACTGGAAATTTCAGTCTCAATCTCTAGCTTCTTTTAAATCTCTTTTTGTTGTTTCTTCCGTGTAAAACCATTGTCGAATTTGCAAAGACAAGTGCTTTATAAATAGAGTTATTATTATTATTATGATTATGACACATATCATATTAGGGATGGAGAGCTTATCATACCCATGCTTTTGTAAGTGAAGCTTAGTTACAGACGCAGGTTAAATTACTTTATGCAACTGCTGCTCCTGTTGTTTGACAACACAAAGTAATGCTGAGGTATTTTTTTAATTACTATGGTCAAACAGAAGCAGCAAGATAAGATCACGATATATAATTACCTCTTCCGTGGTTACTTTTCTTATTTTCAAACACAACCTCATATCGAAAAACTCTCTTCATCTTTGAATCAGTGACTGAAGTGACACCAGGAGTCGGGAACAAACACACTGTAACTTTGTGTGAATGTTTGCAAAGTGTGACAGCACTCAGCCTGATTTTACTGGAAAATGGATTTCATTATCTTTTGGTTCAAGTATGATATTATTGAACAGCTCTGCATGGATTTTTTTTTTTGCATTAGGTATTGGCACCTGTGAAAGGAAGATGAATCAAAATGAAATTACTGAACGAAATGTTCATTTATTGAATGAAATAATATCTCAGAATTATTCATGGGTTTTTGGAGATTATTCTAAATCTGGCTGGAGCATCTGCTGTGCCTCTATTACTTCAGTTGACGTGTACAACAATATAATGTAATTATGTTTTTATAACCAGCTTTGTCATGACTGCTGTGGTAACTTCAGTAATTACATTGAAATCTTCTGGTCAACAGGATAACTTCACAGTCTACAGACCTTTAAACGTGAACCCAAAGTAGCAGTAGCACATGAGTGATTTAATTATAATCTTTAGTTTTCTTACCTTACAGCCACGACCTGATGCAGTGCTTGAGCTCCCTCACTTTGATGTGAATCTTAAGATCTCCAAAATGAAACCAAACGGCTCTTTACGCAGCCAGTCTTTGACAAAAGTAGATGCCGACGGAGTTTGTGAAGCTTCGTTGACTCACAAACACTTGAGGTTAACAGTGTGTGGCTGCTGCTCTGACAGCTGTGCTGCTTGAATGCGTTAATGTGAGTCACTTCAGTGATAATGCTGGATTTCATTGAAGTTACACTAAGGAAGATATATAACAGGCTACTGAGAGAGATTTGTCTCTTGAATAACTAACATATATAAAACCCTGAGAAATTCAAACCTATGTGACTATGGTAGAAATATTTTCTTTCCAGTAATTATGAACAAATAAACCTTAATTTTCTTAATATGAACATAAAATTAAAACTATTTATGCATGTCCAAAACTGGCTTCAATTCAATGATACATCAGTTGTCATTGCTGTTGGTGTGAATGAATTGATGTCAACGACACTATGTTGAAGAGTCCCATCAGCCACTGCTGCAGAGCGCTGGTCACCTATCTATTCAAACTTGTATTTTACAAGTATTTGTGTCCAAATTGCAATATTTTTGTTCCACAGACAGAGATATCTAATATCTAATATGTCTTATAATTATAGAAGTGTCTTCCTCTCTCTTCTTTTTTGTGTATGTCAAATCAAATCAAATCAAATGTCCTTCATATTGTTTACTTTCCTTCTCTCGTGGTATTGATTATTGTTGGCAACATAAATGCTCTGATCCTTTAAACACTGTCAGGCTCTTACACCTTGCTGAAAAAGCCCTATACACAGAGCCTGCCTTATAAACACACACACACACACACACACACACACAGATCTTTTGCCTCACTGGACACATCACTATAATACCTATTAAACCACCAGCTTAAGAGGCAACACTGTCTATTCCAGTGAACCATTTGACTTCCCTGCTGAATGACACACTGTACCGGGAGTGCGAGTCATTATTTCCCACCGCTCACTGAACCAAAGTCATTATCATAGCATGATGCTGAATGCAGAAGCAAAACATCATTCTTCAACAATGAGGAACATGTTCCGGCAGCTGGCTCAGTCTGACAATCCTCCCGTATGCCTCTGTTTTAAAGATTTGACCCATCGTAGTGTAAAGGCACATCCACCTATATGAGTGATGCCTAAAGACTCAGAGAAAAAAACGGGCTTGGAAGCAGATGTCTATCCGCTCATTAGCATAATGTTTTTGTGCCTGAGCAGCGCAGAGAAAACTTGAGGAGTGTGCAAAACAAAGGCGAGAAACCACAAGTGTCTGTAAGACCGTTACAGCTTGAAAACACAAAACAGTGGAGCACCTGTGTGTCTAAACTGATTCTAACAGTGCTGAGTAGCGGGGAGAAGAATGTACTCCTGTTACTGGAGAGAATACTGTGCATAATTTCAGATGTCAGTGGGATATATGCAGAATGGATTGTTTTGTTTTTTTCCTCCTTTATGTTTTGAGAACTGATCCATCTGCGTGAATCCAGCCTTGGAAAAAATAAACCTTTTTAGTCACCTCAAGGCATCCACACAAAGCACGGATGAAAAGTTCTGTAGCTGCAGCTGGTGTGGTGCAGAGAGTGAGTAGGGGGCGCAGCAGCGTGCAGCGGACCCCAGGCCATGCAAGGATTTGTACATAATTGATAGAACAAAGTAATTAGAATCTACGGCAGCACCTGTTTCTGTCCCTTGTCATGTATCACTACCTGACTGCGTCTACCCCGAAGCAGGGTTTTGACGGATGATGCGGTGACAGCTCTGATGTTCTGACGATCACTGTGCAGCAGTGTTTATCACTATTTAATGTTACGGTAATTGCTCCCCTTGTGGTGATTGGTGCTGGTGGTGTAATTCCACCTCACTCTGGTCTATCATCTTGTTACCTCCTGTCCCATCCAAACATAATGACAAAACTTTTTTTTTTTCTATTGACTGTATCTAACTGTACAGAATGTACCAAGCAGCTAAAAGTTCACTGTTAAGATGTATTTATCTTAAACTATTTACTCCTGGCAACTTGCAACTAGCTTTTAGGTTAAGGTCATGCTCATAGTTAAAGCTGCTATAATCAATATTTTTGTAGTGATCATGAACATGTGATGTAATGTAAACTCTATGAACACATTCTACATGTGAATGTGAACAGACAGAATCTGTAAGTGAGCGAATAGAATTTGTGGCTGGAAGCCGTCTGGTTTCTGTTTCACGTTTGAGCAGAATTTGGTTGCCCACAGGTAAACAGTCCGAAATGCATCAGCTTTTTACTTCATTTGAATTCAGATGCAGAAAACTGTTGCTCCAGATGAGCCAAACTATTGTCTGGAGCTAAAACTGTACAAAAGATATCACTGCGGGACTCAGACTGCAGATTGGCTCCAGGATTAAATGTAATGTGAAACAACTCTACAGCTCCTCTCATCTCTAAAGAGCGTTTTAACATCTTTATGGTTATTGTTTTGATTAGCAGTCAGCTATTTTAGGTGGGGACTAAAACAGAGCTAAAAGGAGAGTGGATGTTAAGAAACACAACACAGCACACAAATCCTGATCCTTTATGCCAAAGTCCAGTGTCTTGAACTTACATTTATATGAACACTTAAGCCTGAACCATCATCCTGTTAGCTCTGTCTTACCTCCTGGATTGTACAAAGCTAAAAAAAAAACTTATTGGCAAAGCAATTTACTGTAATATAAAGGATTTTATTAAGAAAAAGTGTTGTTGAATCCACGGTGTCCCGAGGTGTCCCTTTGCTCCAAATCCCTTTTCTTCTCTCTTCTTGTTGCAATTGTTCTCGATTTCCCCGCTCCACTAAATGTGTTTCTCCTCTCTTTGTGTAGGTGAGCGGCAACGTTTGATTGCCTTGCTACGTGGCGGAGTGCCAGGGCCGCAGACTGCTTTGGATAAACTGGCACCAGATCAGATGCTGGTGGAAACCCCAGAGTTTTTCTGGAGATCCTTTGAGCTTTTAAAGGTCTTCATTTAGGTGTCCTCAGGACAGTGTCACAGTTCACAGGTTGGGGCCGTCACTGAACAGGCAACCAAGAGTATGAAGCTAATATGCTTAGATCTACCTCACCCTGCAACTACCCTCTGCCAACAAAAAATGCTGTGGCCCTGCCCAAGGGCGATAGTGGGATCAAGACATAGCGGAGGAACAAAGAGCAAAGTGAGTGCGAGGTGTCAACTCTGTGACAGCTGTGTGACTTGATCTTGCCTGTGGATCAGTTGGGGTCAGTACCTTATTGATCCTCAACTGCTTCCTAGAAGCTTGATGGATTGAAACTTGGAGTGAGAAAACCTGCATGCAGCAGTATTCATTCACACTAAAGCCACTTTAGTTCACTGGAAAAACCCTCATCCCCACCTCATCACCTGTCGCAGTGCTTTCCTGCTTTACCTCCGTCTGTCTCCTCCAGTTTATCTCCGCAGTCCTCCTCATTGCAGAGAGTCTCAATTTTCCTTAAGCAAAGCCCGGAGAGTTTCAGCACAGGGGAGTTTACCTCAGACGTGTACACCGAAGCATGAACAGGACCTCAGGCAATGCCAGCTATTGATTTTACCATGATTCTGATTAGAGGGCTCCCTGTTGCAATCGATACCATACATCAGTAAACTGCACAGTGAAACTGATGGTCCCAGATAGGATCCCATATTTGGTTTCCAATTGATCTCACGGTTGATTATTTTTAAGATAAAAAGGCACATGAGTGAGCAAAAGATCCCTCAACATTAAAAGCAGTTCAGCACGAGAGGTTGCAGAGCGTCCAAAAACATCGGACACTGGATGTAACAGCTGCAGTCAATAACACTGCTTGATCATCATGATTACATT